ATGCTTCTAACAGCATAAAAGACAAGATATTAAATATGTCAGTGGACTGAATGATGCTTACTGCCCTGCCAGTTCTCAAAAGTAACAATCCTAGTTGATTCCTCACCAGCACCTCTAAATCAAAATAGGGAAGAATGGTCTTCTGATACAATATACTAGTTTAAAGATACTGGTCTGGTCTTACTGCTTGAAGTCATAGGTTAGAAGACGACAGAACCATATATCTTAGAATCTGAACTGGCGACCTAGACATGAGTTCTAGCACCTGTTAAATTCCCCAGAGCTATTCTAGCTCATAAAGTGATTACTCACTATTGGTTTGAAAATAGATGCCAAGGAAGAGAAAAAGAACACAGCTAAAACCAAGCTTGAACTAAGGACCTTTAGAAAATCACTCTAACACTGACTCAACCATGCTCAGTGGGAAGACTTGATTTATTGAATTCATACTTTATCAGAATGCCTTTTTAGAAGACACCTAGTTTTTTTTAAAAAGGCGTTGTTCAGCAGAAAGCATTTTAGATAATAGAAAGAAGAAGGACCAAAGATGGTAATAACGCCACATCCTCATCCCTCATCGTTTCCCTGCACTGAAGTTCAGGCAAAGTAGCATGGAGGTAAAGTATGGCAGCATGGCAGAAAGAACTCTGGACGAGGTGATGGGGTCGTGGTATGGGTCTCAGGTCTGATACTTGGGAAAGCCCATTTCTCTACCTGAATTTGAACATCTGTTACAAGAGAAGGTAATGATATGTACCTCACAGAAATGTTGTGAAGATTAAACGAGACCTCTGTAGGTTGCAACAGTAATATTAGACATTATTATTGTTTTTTACTAGCAATAAATCATCCTGATGTTGTACATCTAAATAATTAAGGTCCCAAGCTAAACTAGACAAATGACTGCTTTGACTTTTTTTGTCCCAGATGTTCATAATCAGTACATCTTCTGGGATGTAGTATATGAAGTGTAAAGGGCTCTGACATTAGGAGATGAAAGGTCTGAAAACAAACTGATTAAGGCACTTCGAATTCACTTATCAGTCAAGTCTCTGACCCTTGGTTTTTCTTTCTGTGATGCAGGGCTTATAACACCCATTTTGCAGAGTTGTGGAGAAGATTAGTGATAATGTATGACAGTGCCTAGCATAGTGAATAGCTCCCATAAACAGCTATTATATTATAGGATATTTTTTCTTTCTTTGCTTTCTATGCCTTCGTATTATCATCCATACTACAGGGCTGCTTTTGTTCACAATTGCTTTAAGGTCCTTAGGCATTGTGCTTAATAAATAGTAAGTGTTGACAAGATTGTACCTTAAAAAGATGTCATTTGGATTGATAAATCATCAAATGTTAATACAGTGGGCTCAAACATTCTTTTCTGTTCAGATATCCTAACTGGAAATTCTTTAGAAACTCAAGATTCTGAGGAATGTAAACACTGATCAGACATGGCTCTGCCTTCAGCAAGCCTACATCTCAATAGGAGGTATTTCTTTCACTAAAATCTGTGTCCAATCAAATGTGGTCTTTGTATGGTGACTGGGCTGTGAAGTAAGAAAAAGAAAAATGTTTTCAGAGATGGAAGTCAAACTTCTGTCAAGGGGGTGAGTGATGGGAACTGGGTTGGGGCTGTGGCAGGGAGGATTAAAGTCTGTTAACTGTACTTTATTGTCAGGCACAGTACTAGGCGATTCACCTTCATTGTTTTAGTTAACCCCAAAGCGAACCTATGAGATAGGTTGCAAAATGTGGACTTCATGGTTGAAAACAGTTGGCAACTTAGAGAAGTAAAACTAACTTATCTAAGATCATACACCCAACAATGCTGGAAATGGGATTTTAATCATTAACACAGGGAGTGGATTAGAAAGTGGGTCTTGTTCAATTTAACAGAAAAACAATTTAACCTGAGCATCTACCCTTATGCAAAAATTTCTTATTTTCCTTCTTGGATTCTTCTCCTTTTCTTTTCTATTGGGCCCCGGGATAAGTTCAATTCTGGATTTTGGAACCCCTACGATCAGGATTATAGTCATCTTTCACATGCACATTACCCAAAGGGTTTAATTTATTTCTTTAACCTGCATACTTACATTAAGAAGAACTGATAGCTATTTCAAATGTGCTAGTGTTTTGCATTTATGAAAGGAAAGTCAGTCAACATTAATTTTACTGTAGAAATATGGTATAGAATATACCACAATTAAGATATATGACAATCACTTATCCTTTTATTTAACAAATACTAGTGATTATTGCTCCCACCCCCTCAGTAAGTCACAAATCTTTAAAAATAGTTTTAGATAATCAGTGTAGCCAACACAAGGACCAAATTAACATGGCTTAGCAGATAGGACTTTTTCCTTATGTACCAATAAATCTGAGGATGGATAATCCAGGATTATCCAGGAGTCTGTCTCCTTATGTTTTTCTCTTTTTTCTTCCTCCCTTCCTCCCTCTCTCCTTTTATTCCTTCCTTCCTGTTAGAACACTTAACAGGAGACCTACCCTCATAACGAGAGATCGGCTGTACAACTGAGTCTGTTCTTAAGAAATAATTCTGGCAAGCTCCAGCTCCCAATTTAACCTTCTCCTTGGTCAAAATCTATTACATGGTTACTCTAGGGAGCAAGGAAATCTGTGCTGTGGTTTGGGTTGTAAAAACTGGAGGAAAAAGAAAAATATCATCATCAGAAAGAGGTCTTTTTAGAACATTAAGACTTTTACTTTTCCAGCCTCCATGGTAGAGAAAAGCAAGGCATAACAGGCTTGTGAATGGCTTTGAGGAAGCTATCAGCCCATCCACAGTGTTGGGCACAGGAAGATAACTGGCCTTCCTTGGACTGTGTTTGTTGCTACAAAGGGCATTCTAGTTTTACTACTTACTGTGAATCACATTCAAGTTTCCTAAACTCTGTCAAACTTACTTGACTATTTATAAAACAGGTAATTACAGTGCTTATTTTAAAGTATTCTTATGGTGCTTAAAGTATTGTATAAGACGGTAAAGAGAAAAAGTGCTTAACATTACACCTGGCACAAAGAAAACTTTAAGGAATATGAGCAACTATAAAAACACACTCATTGATATTGTATAGTATAATACTCATACTTCTCCTTGATTAGAGTGAGCTTTTTTGCGTTATCTGCATATTGTCTTTAGTTTCTGGCTTTGTTTTGTTATTTTTTGTCCTAGGAATACCCTTCCTGAGCTCTGGATGTGTCCTCATGACACAGACCACGCTGGGCACCAACTCAGATACTGGAAGAAGGTTTCACTACCGCTGAGTGCAGACGTGCTGATAACTGGGCCCTTTGACACACGGCGGCTAAGCTCTCCTCTCAAGCTGTTGGGGCTGGTGCCGCCTTGAAGCACTGAGTGATGCCGTGCCAGTTCACGGCAAGGTCTTTATTGCTGGAACTCTTGCATCATGACATCTTTATTCATGTGAAAATACAGGATGAATTTCAACTATATGATATTGTTTATGTTCATCAGAAATGTTATTTGTCTTTACAAAGTCTGGTTTCAATGAACTGACTATGTAATGGATATTAAATAAACATGGAATTTTACATGTTCATAATATTTGGTTTCTTGTTGTGATTTTGATGAACTACACTTTCAAGCACTGTCAGTTCATCCTTATTTACAAACGAAACGTTTGCTTGTAGCGGAGTGATATAGTGACTTGCTTTATTTTAAGTCAACTTTTCTATTCAATGTTTAATGTGAAATTGACTCAAAATATTCTTTTAGGCCACATTTACATTTCCCTCTTTATAACATGTATTATGCTATCTTAACTTAATGCTGTGAGCTATATAAACCAAAGACATTCTAATTCTGTTTTTAATGTATTTTTCCAAGATAAATAATTTATAATGCACTAATAAAAGTAAGGAGCTCATATTAAAAGAATTATATGACCTACTGAAATTGATCTATGGAAACTGATTCTCTTAAAAATAATTTTGTGAAATTATTTTGTATAAAATTGACTTTATTATATGAATTCTTGACACCAAATGTAAAACAAAAAGAACTTGAATTCTCCCTCTTCATCATTTTACACTGAAGAGAAGTAATCGAATACTTTCTAACTTTATGATTTTGGGGTTTCTTAGAAAAAGAAATCAGATGAATAGTAAACATATCAGTTGTACATATAAATTCCAGGTATCTATTTAAACTAAAAGTCCTTTTCAAAGTACATTTAGTCTTTTCACATATATAAAGTGATATAATGAAATGTTTTCATCTTGCTATCCAAGGGAAGAAATGTCATTTTTTTTTTTTTTTGGAAGGCTGAAAATAAGTAATCCTGAGCCTAACAGGTACCTTGTAAGGACTCATATGCATCACATGAGCTAAGAAAAGCTATGAAAGGGCAAACGAATATTCCAAGCACTAAGGTTTCTTTAACCTTAAAAGACTTATTTAAAATGGGCAGTCATGGCATACTAGGACCACCTAACATTATCACGTACAAATCTGTGTATTAACATTCTGCCTTTGCAGGGAGGCACCAGGAAGATGCTGGGGGAGGGAAAGGACCAGCTTGCAGAGAGAGTTTCAAACAACAGGATGATGGTGTCAGGTCTTTAGTTTTGAGGTTGTGGGTGGTGGTGGAAATAAGGGAAGGGAGGAGGGAACTGGGAAACCTGAAGAGTTGAAGGAATGGAAGAAGTCTATAGCAATTTTAGTGACAAAATGTGGATTCCTATGACCATGCTTCAGAGCATCCTAGCGCCAGTTTGCAAGGGGCAGCAAGATTATTTAAAAAGAGTCAGAACCTTGGAGTCATAAGAAATAGCTTTCTATGCCATTTCTTGGATTGGGCTACTTTTGTGGGTGACTAACCTCACTCATTCCTGGGATTCTTTCCATTTGACTAGTTTCATTTTTCAGGCAGTGACCTTTCCCTGACCTCGGCCCCAAACTCCAGGTCACCTTGCTGTAGCCTTGGTGCAGGGCTGAATAGAGAGCTTACCAGATTGTTGGCACCAGATAAGTGGTACTGAGCACAATCGTCCTCTTTCATGAGCGGGAGGGAAGTTGCCTTTCCTAGGGTTCAGAGATCTGGGCTGACTTATGCCTCCTTTTCATTTTGTTGTCCAGTAATTTTCCCTCTGGCCAAATCTGCAAACTGGTTGCCTTGCAGGAAGGTGACATGCATCACTGATGCAAAAAGAAAAAAAAATACTGTTGGCCTCGGCACAGATTCAAGCGTACTTCCAAACAGTTTCATTTTATGATGAAATAGGTCAATTATTTGCCCCAAATAATTAAAAACTTTCATCGCTTAAACTTAATCTCATCTCTTTACGTTCCTATGTTGTCATCTGATTATACTCCTCCTCTGTGTCGAAGCATTATCTGAACATCTAGCTTGGCCAGTTTTCTATTCCACCACCCCCAAATTATCTTGGGAAAGACCTTCCTCCTCCTCAAACTGAAAACAACCTGTATGTACCAAGTTTTTAGATAGTGAAAAGATAATTTTTTGGTTATGGATCAGCCACAGATTCCAGCCCCAATCACTAGCCTCCATGTTGCCATTTAGCCATGACTCCACAAGCAGTGTGGTCATTTCTAACGTTCTAGACTTTTCTGCTCTTCTTTTTAAGGAAGAAACCTAATGAGCCTTAATGCTGAGATTCAAGGGCTACAGTGAATGGCAAATTCCGACATGCCACATTGAAATGCAAAGCCAGTATACCAGCCTGTCTCTTTTGAATAAATCAGTATGGCCATACTGACAGTTTTCCTGCCTACCTCTCTATATTCTGTTTGCTCCCATTCTAAGGATGTCAGAACTGAAGAAGGACAAAAAAGGAGAAATAAAGAAAAAGAAGAAGTATCTCAGTAGTGAAATGAAAAGATCAAGCTAATCTTTTATCTTGGCATCCAATTTAGTTCTTGGAAAAACAGTGTTTCAAAATTTTTTCAAATGATTAGATTCATGTCTTGCGTTTGGACATTTAATTAGGCTTAAGGGAAAAAAGACGGAAGTTTTTAATACCATTTTGCTATGTAAAATACTCATGAACGTTTCTACCATATTAGGTAATTCTCTATCAAACACACTTGTGATTCCAAGAGGCCTGGCCGGGGCTGCCGCAGCACGCAACCGTCAGCCAATGCCAGCTCCGCACAGGATGCATTGTGCCCCGCGCGCTCTAAAGCAATCAAACGAGTCTGCAAACGTTCTTCAAAGAATACATCTAGAATGTTACTTCGTTAAACATCTCCTTGGCATTCATTCTATTTTCCACTTTGAATTGCTGCATTTAGTTTTGTAATGACCTTCTATAGCAAGGAGGTTTTATTAACTCTTTGATCTTCTAGCTTTGGGATGAAAACAAAGAAAATATAAATGAGCACTTTGTACACTGTCTTACAGAGGAGGCCAGAAGAAAAAAGGAAATATGTTTTCATCAAACAGATTGGCCTGTGTGGAGATTTTCAGCCCTTCCTGTTCTTTTCTCCCTTTAAGCAAAATGCTTATCAATGTTGTACATGTGTTTGTTTTAATGTTGTCTGAATAACGAGATCTTTGTTTCTCTTCTCTCTAGCACCCATAGCCGAGGTGAGGGTCAGATATCTCTTTGTGGATTTTCTTTTTAAAGCGTTCTTCATCCTTGGTTTTCTCCAACCCTAAGTGCCATTCTTGGGAAATCTGCCATCGTCTTTATGGGATGAAGGCAGCCTTGCTCTCTTTCCAAGTGTTCCTTTGTGTATGTCTCTGTGAGTGTGGCAGGCAAGTGGATCTGTGGTCAGGTAGTTGCCTAATTCTGTGGTGAGAATGGACTGAGGACTCTGCCTCTGAACTCCAATTCTGTACTTCAGTGTAACCTGTCAATATATTCTGACATGGAGTCTCAGAATTTATTTATCTTGCCCCTAACATCCTAAACTCATGGCATTATCAGTTTAGAGAGGAGACACTGCCTTTCACACTGGCTGACTGTATTTTCACTTTTTGTTATCCTTTGGTTTGTTTCCTTTTATATTCTCATATGATTCTATGGTCTTGGTCTTGATCACAACTTTGGAAGCAAAACTTCAGGTAAAATATTACAAAATATCAGCATTTTATGATTAAAATTAAATCCAAAGAGTGGAAATAGTTACCAAACAGAACAAACTTTTCCTTTCCCCAATCTTATAATCAGCCATTCATGACATCACACACTTCTTTAGTTATCATCTTGATATCTGAAGCTCTTATTCATTGTTAAATTTAAAGCAACTTGAACTAAGAACCTCTGGACTTTCTGGATTTGCTCAATCCAGACTCTAGAATAACAGGTGATGTAACTGGATGCTGATAACACTATCTGGTCCTTTTGTAGTAACTTCAGTTTATCTGAAATGAAAAGCCTTTTTTTTTTTTTAAACCTCCAAATGTTTTCATTTTGTTTTGGCTAAGGTTTTCTTTTACCTGACTCATGCAACACTAATCACTGTTACTGGTGTGCTGAGAATGATAAAGTAAATGATATTTTTAAAAATGAGTGATAATTTGCCTAGGTGCTTTGCTCAGGTAAATTTGGCTAACTATTAGAACTCACACCTTTTAATTTCCTCTTTGCTCTAGTTTGCTTTTCTGGGTCACACAGAGGGTGGGGGAAATGATCAACTATTGAAATGGGAGATATTCAGCTATTCATCCTTGGTGTTTTCTCAAGTGATGGTCTCATCTGTAAGAGGAATGCCAGCCAGTTTGGTCAACCCCTTTTCACATCTTCACTTGGTGACTTTTAGTTGTTTTTTTGGAGAATAACTCATTCCTGATCCTAGCAATTCTTTATTTTGTTTTATGTTTATTTGTCTTATCATACTTCAAACTATAATTTCCCTAAGATGAAAACTTGCTTATGCTCTAGAATATGTTCTATAAATATTTTGCAATGATATTAATAACAATAAATCACTGAACACTGTGAGACTGTGTCTATTGGGAAATTTGTATTTAGAGATAAGTTACTGACTTTGAAAGGATGTCAGTCTGGCAGTTGTGATCAGAAAATAGCCTCAATTTATATACACATCAGGAATATTCCTAAACATTCTACTGAAATTCCTTTGTATAACAAAACAAGCAATAGAGCAATCAATATTTACATACATGCAGTGCTTTAACCTTGGGTATAAAGCAAAATAACAAGCAAAGAGAATAACTCAGAGCAGTTATTAAAGGAAAAGTATATATATATATTTATATAAAATACTGAAATTTGAAATCTTGAAATACTAATTGTTTTAAATGACTCCAAAGAGATTGGAAAAGATTGGGGGAAAAAATTAAATGACTTACAGAATTCTCTTCTATTTTTATCTTTTGGTGGTCCATTAAGAAAAAGTTCAAAACAGTATAACATTTATTCAGAGGCTAATAGCATTTTAACCTATTTGACAATGTTTTGTGCTTCTTTCAAAAATCTTAAACTATGTAATCATAAAATAATATTGTGGTAGGTGTACATAGGGTGTACTATTAAATAGTTGAAGAGGAAAGCCCTTTATCACGGACAATTATTTATTTAGATTTTCCGTCCATGTTACTAGGTCAAAGAGTAAATTTGTTTTCCTACTTTGCAAAATGGTGGGGAAAAGAATTTAAGGATCAAGGGCTCTTGTGAAAAGTTCTGATTGCCTCGATGCTTGTAGAGAAAAAAACCTAAGGGGCTCTTGGTTAAAAATGGTGAATTAATTACACGCACTTATCTCTTCTTCCACAACCTCTACCAAAATGATAGCAAAAAATAACAAAGGTATTTGCCTCTAAGAAAAGAAAATGAGAAAGAAAAAAATAGTGAACATGGGATTTCAGTAACTATTTAGAAGAAAAGCAGATAGACAAGTACCTGAAGATCAGAGGAACAGAGCCAGGAGTGTGCCAAAAAGTCCTGACAGCCTGAATGCAGAAAGGACGGAGGAGTGTAGGGCTAAATACTAAAGGAGGGGTGGAAAGCTTGAATACAGGCAAAGAGAACACCAGATCTCCTCCCTCCCTTCACACTCAACACACACACACACACACACACACACACACACATACACACACACACACACTACCCTTCACTCTCTCTCCAGCAGGAGAGAAGGGGTTAGTCTCCAAAGAAAATGAACTATACTGGGTCTCGTTTCAAGGATCCTGGCATAGCACAGGCTGAAGCTAACACACAGGACTGAAATAAATCAAAGTTTAATACTAAATTATAACACTCTATCCCCTTCCCTAGCTCTGCTCTTAAATCATTTGTAGCCAGGTACATGCTTTCCTAGGTAGGAGACTTCAAGAGAGCTCTCTAGAGAAACTGAATGGTCCCCAAGAAAAGACCTATACAAACTGAAATTTGGGTTCACCTCAGAAAATGCTGGTTTACCCCCACAGTGAAGTCCAGTCATTAGTAAGCTCTTACTGTACATGCAGCGCTTTTGCACAGCTTTATAATGTTCTATTTTTAAAATATAATTGGGCAATTAAGGATCACCAGACAGATAAGTAAAGTCTTCCAAGTGAAATTTAGAAACAAATTCTAAAGACAGAGGGAAAGATAGTGACCTGAAGAAAAGAGAAAAAAATTCAAACTTATTATAGTCAGTATCTTCAGATATATGAGAAAAAATTGTGTCCATAAAGCAAGAATAGAATGCTGTGGAAAAGGAACAATAAAAACTTCTGAATATGAAAAATATATTTATAGTCAATTAAAAATTCAAAAGAAAAGTAAAAAGATAAAATTAAGAACATGTTTCAGAAAGCAGAACAAGTCAAAGAATTGGAAACAAAGTGAGAAAAGATAGGAGAAAAGAATTACCATCTATCTCAATATAATGACTACACAAAAAAAATATATTCGTTTCATAACTGTGAAGAGTAGATATTCCATGTGGCTTATGTTATGGCTGTCATGAATTCTGCAGTGGAAGAAAATGCCACAACTCATAGGGGATGGTCTTCAGAGAGTTGAGAAATGGCCAAACTCACCAACGTTAGTATGATCCAAACTTGAATAAACACAGTTTTCCATGGGTTCAAGGATTCCAGACTGACTGAAGTCACTGCTAGTACTGAGTGTTCCAGAGAGGGTGGCCAGTCAGTGAAAGAGACCATTAGAGGCACTGGGTCAACTGTAGGGTTATGGAGCCACCTGAAACCGTTAATAAAATATTCAAGATTCTAGGGCTTCATTCATTCATTCAGTGATTCTTTAAATATCTAGTCACTATCATCCTTTCCTTTTCCCTCTGCCCTAAGGCATTTGGTCTTTAACACACAAAATAAATTCAGTTAACTGTCCTTGTACCCTTTTTTGTTTCTTTTGTACTCTCTCTACCGCACTGTATCTCCACTTCACTCCTTCTTCCCTCCGCCTGAAAAAAGTCACAATATAAGTCTGTCTCATGTAGCACTGTCTTTATAGTATAGTGACTTCAGAAATATTTGATATTAATTTACACATACTGTGGCAAATATGCTGTTAACAAAACATTCTCCTTGTGGATACAATAGGATTGTACGTCCTCTTCTTTGAAATTAGGCATGACCATGTAACTACTTGGTCAATGGAATTTGAGTATAAGTGAATATAAATTGTTATAGCCTTTTCCTTCTGCCATGGTGACAGAAATATTCCCACTACTTTTTTGTTCAATTGAAGTGAGGATGATATAGAGCAAAATTCCAAGTCAACCCATGGAAATATAGAGCAAGAAATAATCTTTGTTTTATAAAATCTCTGAGACTGTATTTATATTACAGCAAAATCTAACCTATTCTGACTGATACAAATATAAATACGGAAAAATATAGTGTTTTCTCACTTCCAGTCAGCCAATATACATGATGAGTGCTGTTTTAACACTTCAGCCAGTGAATATTCATATGCCATTCTGTGTTTTCTTTAATGGCATGTCCCTGTGTTGTTTTTAGCTCTGCCTTTGATTTATTTCTGGTGAAGAATTTTGACTAATTATAACAAATCAAATGTTGCAAATGGTTAATCAGGAGGTTTCACCGAAACTCCCTATCAGGCTAGATGTTAAAATGTAAACCTTCAAGGAAATGGAGAAAATAGAGGCTAAAAGCCAACATACAGGGATTGGTGAAAGACGTTTGATATGATGAAGAGCAAACTTCACTGCAACCTGGAAGATGTTGTTAATTGCATGAATAGTAGCTAGAAGAAACTATGGCCAAAGACAGACCACAGTTTGGGTGTTTGTTGTTTTTTTTTTTTGTTTTTGCTTTTTTGGCCATACTGCATGACATGCAGGATCCTAGTTCCCCAATCAGGGATCAAACCTGGACCCTTGGCAGCGAGAGCATGGGGATCTAACCACTGAACTACCAGGGAGTTCCCTCGGGTGTTTTGAAGATGGAGAATGTTAGTTATCTCTTGCTACATACAGATTTCCTCAAACTTAGCAGGCATTCAGAAGTGGTTCTGAACAAACCAAAAAATTTGTGTGACTCACTTTATTGATATATTTGCTTTATTACTGTGGCCTGGAACCAAACCTGCAATATATCTGAGGTTTGCCTGTATCCCATTTGCTACACAAATTAACTCTACTCATTATGTGAGGAATTAACATGAGGGTGTAAATACCAGGACACAAGGGGCATTGAAGGCCATGTTGGGGGCTAGGACCTCAGTGGAAGAGCTCTTGGCAAGCTGTAACCTTGGGATTGTATCTCCAAAGCTGATTCTGCTATAACGGCCTTGCTGTTTGTAGAGATAGTGTTCCTGTTCTAGAAACACAGTCTAGACCATCCCATTTGCATCTAACCAATGGAACATACTGAATAAACAAATTTCAAAAATAAATTTAAAAAATTGACTGATTGAGATACCTCATGAGCTACTGTCAGCTTAAACAGTCTACCCAATATTTCATAGTATATCATTATCTGCATAAAATTGAAAATAATTGAAAAGACTGAACTTTTGAGATCTCAACTAAATCTTTCCTTAAGTATATTATTTTTCTATCATATAAATATCAAGATATATTAACTAAAAAAAGCTAAACTGTAATTTTTCTAAAAGTAAAATTTGAAAAAAAATAAGAGGAACAATTACATTGTACAGCATTCACAGTCAGCTGCAACTGTACACTTTTGGAATAATTATTACCTCAGATTACTCTGCAGATTGAAAATCATCATTTTGATTTTGCTCCTTTCCTTATGTCTTTAAAATTGGAAATATTTCTTGATTTTCATTATAATGCCAAATTCATTATATACTTTAAGAAATTTTACCCAAATAAAAGTTTAAAGTTTTTATTACTCCATTAGAAAGACAAATATAACAGTATTTTTGTCAGAAAGACAAATATAACAGTAGTTTTTCGTAAAAACATTACTTCTACTCTTGTTTGAAATTGAATTGACATTTAAAATGCATGTTGATTTCCTCTTTATAAAAAAAAGCAAAAAAAAAACCCCAAAACATTAGCATGACAGTGACAAGACCATAATAACCATCTAAACGGCACCAACATTTCTTTCTACTTCTCAACCAGAAATATAGTTTGTTGGCTGTCCTAGTTTACTGACTGTCTCACTTCAAAAGTTTTTTTCTAGTTTGCTTTGTTTATAGTGTGGAATTCATTTCCCCATAGAAATAATGTTAAGCATAAGAGTGAGTCAATTAAATTAGTCCTCAGAAGCCTTCTTAACTGCAAGATTCTTCAAGATTCTCCAGCTACAGAATCTAATTTCCTTGTGTGGGGAAACCTAAAGATGGGCCTCGGTTGAAGGATGTGCTACAGACTCTTGCAGTTTGATTGAAGGGAAGAAAGTGGTCTATGGCTTTTTCCTTTTGTTTTGCTTCCTAGTGACTTCGATAGACCTACTTTTTTCTTCCTACTACTGTTTCCTTTGCCTCTGCTAAAGTTTATCTCCTTCTTTTTTCACAACAGATATAGAACTTACTTCTTGCATAATAACAAAGTACCAATAATCAAAATAACAACAATAATATAAATAAATGACACTTATTGAGTGCTACTACAAATTACATACTGGCCCAAATTTTCTGTGTGTGTTATCTTATTTAATCCTATAACAACTCTAGATATAAAGCAGTAACATTATTCCCATTTTAAGGATGAGATAACTGAGAAATACAGAAGTTGAACAACCAACTTAAAATGCCAGAAGTTACTGGGATAAGAATTTAAACTTAAGAAGTTTGACTCTGAATCTTATCTCTTGTTAACCATGAGAAGACAGATGAATAGATAGATGGATAGACAGATGGACACACAATTTACCTCTACTAAAATTAAAAACAGATGGAAATAATACTACATCTACCTTATTTCTAAAAATTTTAGTAGCAGTGGGAAGAGCAAAGCTTCAGAGGTCAGCAGTAACTTGCATAATTCATCTCCATTTCAAAAAAATAAAACTTTTTGGAGCTGAGGCAGTAGCTCTGGGTAGACAAGGAAAGAAATTAATGCACTCTGATAGTGCGTTCTGGCTTGGGCGTGGAAAACACAGTGATTTGTTGGAGAGGTTGAAGAGAGCGACCCTTCCTTCTCCCGTCACTGCAGGACCACCTGGTCCTCACAGAACCTACCCTGAAGCAGCCCTCAGCCATCACTGAAGAGTGTGCAAAGCAGGCTTTGGGGTTCTGGGTTTGTTATGGGGAGAAGGAACCAAGGGGTTGGCACTTAGGTTGGCAACGTGAGCAGCAAAGTTTAGGAAGCTAGAAAAATACCATGAGGCACATATTTCCTTCTGTCCTTGCAAAAAAATATTGACAACATGTATAAAGTGAAATTTGTAGGTGTAATGTTTTACATAGAATTTAACTCAGTGAAAAGCCAGTTAATCCTAATGTGTTACTGGCTTCCTTTAATCCATTGCCAATAGCTGGGAACAGAATCAAAGCACAGACAATGCTCGAGAAAGTCATGAGTAGCTAGGAGAGTAAGTTGTTCTCAGCCTGAGAAATTAGAAATCCTTCTCCATTGTGCATTCTTACATCCTTGCCAGGAAACAGATACATTTCCCCACTAGGAACTGAACACGGTCACCTTGGCCCAGGTTGTCAGGATTTAAAACAGTAAAAGACACTTGTCTACAGCAAGATGACAATATTGCTATCAAAGATTTCTAACATTTCTTTCAAAAGAAAAAACATAGTAACATGCGAAGATTTAATGAACATTTCACAAATATGAGGTGGCAATTTGGTTTGTTAGTGCCAGGTAAATATCTTTGTTAAAAGAAAAAATTAATGAGTGAGCAAATAAATGGTTGGATGGCATCATCAATTCAATGGACATGAACTTGGGTGAACTCCGGGAGATGGTGAGGGACAGGGAAGCCTGATGTGCTGTGGTCCATGGGGTCACAAAGAGTAGGACACGTTTTAGTGACTCAACAACAACAAATCATTTCAATAGTCAAGTAGTTACTTTAATATCCTCTAGGTAGACAGAAGGGCAGTAGTGCAATTGGGACTAAAACCCAGATGGCAGTCTGCTGGGCATAGATAGGGCCTGGACATATGCACATAGAAGGAGGTGTTGATGTTGGCCATTGAAGGGGAAGCGAGACATCTATAAAGAAGGTGAAAGCTTTTATATGGAAAGACACTGCAGAGAGAGTCCAGAATTTGGGAGCTTCTGTGCTCCTTCTAAAATGAACAGTTTTGTGATGATGGGAAAATTATTTTTTCCCTTGTGTCTGGTTTCCTCTACAAACTTAGGGAGTTGAAAAAACATCAACAGAGGGCCTACAAGGCCTGGAATATTTACTATTTGGTTCTTTACAGAAAAAAATTGCCAAGCTTTAATACAAAATGTCTTACAGGATTAGTGATCCTTATAACACACATAAGGAAACAATAGGCTAGATGATTACTCTAGTTCTTCCCCTTTCTATAATTTTATTTATGCACTAAATGAACATTTACTGAGCACTCATTTGTCTGAGGTGCTGTCCTAGACCCTGGGACATAAAAATATGAATCAGTCATAGTCTCTCTGAATATTCATCAGAGGGACTGATGCTGAAGCTAAAACTCCAATACTTTGGCCACCTAATGTGAAGAATGGACTCATTGGAAAAGACCCTGATGCTGGGAAAGATTGACGGTAGGAGGAGAAGGGGACAACAGAGGATGAGATG